CGTCGTCGTCTCGGTCCGACGCTTCATCGTCAACGTCGTCGGCCGTCGCTTCATCGCCGTCGTCGTCTCGGTCCGACGCTTCATCGTCAACGTCGTCGTCCGTCGCTTCATCGCCCTCGTCGTCTCGGTCCGACGCTTCATTATCAACGTCGCCGTCCGACACTTCATCATCAACGTCACCGTCCGTCGCTACATCGCCGTCGTCGTCGCGTCCTCGGCCAGCGTCCGCGGGTGATGCTGTCTGACCTATCATGACACTGTTCTACGAAAGCATGTTTCCTGGCGGTCGTCACAGCGGGCACCAGTCGGGCGGCTACAGCCACCAGCAGCTGCAGCACGCGCAGCACGTGCAGCACATCACCAACCTCGGCGTCGGCGCCGTCGGCTACGGCGGCCCGCCGTCGCAATGCGCCGCCGCCGACTACGGCTACCCGACCGACTCTCTGCAGCAGGGCGGCTGGCTGTACGGAGCGCCGCCGGCTCGCACGCACGACGACGCCGGATGGCCGATGATCCAGACGCACAGCGGACACGGATCCGGACTCGGAATCCCCAACTCGCACCCGCACCACCAGGGGTCGTACCAGCCGCTCGGACATCCGCGCGCGTCGTCGGCGACGTCGATGGGTCTCGAATTCGGGCAGCTAACGCATCCGCGCATGGGCGGTGCGATCGTACCCAACCCGACGGTGGGCGGCGTCGCGCCGACGGTGCCCGGCTCTCACGCGCACACGATCAGCGACGGCAGCAATAGACTGAGCCGTGAGCCGTACTCGTGGATCAAGAAGTCGCCCGTCTCCGGTGAGTCACATGTCCGATGCAAATAACATTAACGCGATATTAGTTATTATACAAGCGTTATACGCGAGTAGTACTTCCCATGCAGAAGCGTCCGATGTATAGTCTGTTATTATACACACACACGCGTGCGAGCACACACACGCACGCACGCACGCACGCACACACGCACACACACACGCACGCACGCACGCACGCACACACACACACACACGCACACACACACACGCGTGCGAGCACACACA